ACTTTACATGTTACTGTTCACAAGCTCATATTAAAAATACTCTAATAAGCTTTAAGTTTTATCGGAGGTTTTTCGTTGGCAAAGTCACTCATAATTGTATATCCCCTTGGAGCATTTACATACATCCATATGTACATATGCAAATATTAAAGAGCGTCATTTACTATCGGTGAACAGTTTTTATTAATAGGTACATATTTACTTTCGATTTTCTCCTTGCACGGTAGCCCCCTAATTTGTTTATGCTTTTTATTTGTTTGACGCAAATCGTTTGTCATACACATATACACACATATGTATATGTACATTAGACTGCAAAAGTTGCGGACCAAAAAAAAGTTGTGGTCTTTCCGCGGGGGTTACAAAATTTATTATATTTTAAGACGTCCACCACAATATTGCGGAAAAATACTAAGATTTACGTGAGCTGAACTGATTTGAAAATACCTCTAAAAATGAGATTTGAATAAATATAGTTTTTAAAAAACTTGTTGAAAAAAGTCCTCTCAGATCACAAAACAGATTAAGCTTAAAAAATGTGCATAAAAATATTTAAAAATCTTTTCAACGGAATCCTAATATTGAGATTTTTGATGCTGTTTTTTACTTTTTTCATAGATTGATTTACAAAAAACTTGAATTACTGGCCAAAACTATTCTGATTTAGACTCATAGGATCTCAGTAGAAAGGTATTTTTCCACTATTTTTATATCTGTCCAAGAAAAGGTCAAGAAATAAAAAGGGTGAGAAAATACCTTTCCAATGATACCTCACAAGTCTAAACTGGAAGAGTTTGGGTTCAATTATTCAAATTCTTCTTCTACCAATCTTTGAAAAAAGTTACAAAACAGCATCAAAAATCTCATTATTACGATTCCGCAAAATTTTTTTTTTTTTTAATTTTTTAACAAATTATTTATGCAAACTTTTTAAGCTTAAACCGTTTTGTTTGAGGGGATTTTCAGAAAAAAATCTTTAAGAAGCTATTTTTATTCATAAAAAACTCCATTTTTGGAGGTACTTTCAAATCGGTCCAGCTCACGTATGTAAATCTTAATATTTTTCCGAAATGTTTTGGTAGACGTTTTAAAATATAATAGATTTTATAATTCCAATGGAAACACAGTACCGATTTTTTTTTTTTGTATGGGGAGTGATGCAGTCTAATGTACTATATGTACATACATATGTTTATTGGCGGGAGTTTTCGAAAAGGTTCTCATCTCCCATTCGCTTTATGCGTGACAATTATTACCAAACAAATGACCGGCGAACAGCAAACATTTTTCAGTCTTAAGGAAATTCCAAATTGACAAGGCTACTGACAGACAAGTAAAATTTGAATAAGTAAATATAAACAAGTAATTTTTAAGCAAAAAAATAAAACCGACTTCAAATCTCATATAAAAATTTAAGAGTACGGTAAATTTTTTCATGATCCAATGATCGGATCTAAACCAGATTAGTAAGGGACCACCACTGAGACACCACCTTTCCGATGCAAAAAGAATTGGTTGACGAGGTTCAAAAGTTATGCGGTAACATACATACAAAAAATATATATTCCGACGAATTGATAACCTCCTCCTTTTTTGAAAGCGGTTAAACATAAATCCTTCTTCGTTTAGAAAATGACTTAAAGAACTTTCTCAAGAGACCAGTTTATTTATACTGAATTTTTTCAGTTCCAGTTAATAAATGTTACGTAATGTTACGTTCTGAGAGTCGGCGTAAAAGTGTAGGTCCCTCCTCTTTGTGCAAATCGGAGGAGAAGCTTGGCCAAACAATAACATATGTGTAAGCGTCAATGTGCTCGAAATGTTAGCGAAATAAATTAATCACCCTCATTGCGAGAGTCGAGTTGAATGCAAGGCGTTTTTCGGGAGTCGAATCGTATCTAAAATTTACCGTCATTTCATAAAATTTCGACTCGACTAGTGCATTAAAACGGAAAAACTTGGCAACACTGTATGGTTTGTCGAGTCGAGTACAATTTAGCCTAATTTATGACTTACGCAATGAGGCTGATTAAAAATCAACGCGAACTCTTAGACACTTGCAACTTGCACTTTTTATACTAAAATTGTAATATCTATAAATCTTTTTAATACTGGTGAACATTTTTTATAACATTTATATTTTATATCTATATTATAATTTATAAATTTTTTTTGTGAATTTTTGTTTTTCGTTTTGAAGTATATCGTTTGTCAATTGTTTTCAACTGGTTTTTATTACGTAACATTTATTAACTGGAACAGGATCATCGATTTTCTTCAAAATTGCAAACTTTTCTGCACTTTGGACTAAAAATATTTGTACGCATAAACAAGCAAGAATTCAAAAATCGGGCTCAATTGGTCTTTTGCTAATTTTATACGCCTCCATTTAAAAAAAAGTATCAAATTGTTTGAAAAATGAAGGCTCCAGTGAATTATGAACAGTAAATTCCAGTTTTGGACCACTGTGCGATGTGGTTAAGTTATTATAGGTGCATGCTACCACTCCGTAGGACCTGAGTTCGCACATAAATAGTACATATTTAGTACCGGCTGCAGATTTTCTCTTGGCTGCCCTGAGTATATACATACATACATATGTATGTACATATTTATTGGCATTAGTCATCGGGGCTAATGATTGCTCATTTGCTTAAAATAGAATTCAAATGTTATCATATTGACTATGTTTCTTGTTGCTTCATACATTGGCTTGGGGTTTTTTAACTCGATAGTAAATGCATATCTGCATGCATATACATAAATATATGCCCCGCTGCACTTGAATAGGCAAATTGTTTTTCTTCAGGAGCCGAACTTATGTATACTTAGTCTTGATGAAAAACAATAAGAAAAGTTCTTAGTTTTTTGCGGCTTATAAAATCCAAGGCTAAAACACATTCGGAGGTTTGCTATTGCTTACCCAGGGGCGATCGCTGTTTAGAAGAAACCTTTTCTTTGTTTTTTTTTTTTATTTTGCTTGGACCAGGTTCAAAATGACCCGCTCTAACCATTAAGCTAGAGAGAGACGTATTTTCTGTAATAACAAGAGAGAAGCCGAAACACGGAAGTGCGAACAGCTTGAATTGCCGGCCGTAGGAAGTAAGCACGAAAATTTTACCAACAAATTTTTCAACTTACGGAAGGTTTCAAGACTAGGGCGGGGGAGGTAAAACTTTTTCGCCCTATTGAATGGTATTAGCACTAAAAGTTTTGAAGGAAACCATATCGAGTTGATGACGACGAAAGCGGTGTCCGACTTCTGAATAGCCATTACGCAGCTGAGAAGCGAGAATGGACTTTACCAAAGGGGCTTTAGGCCTGGTAAATCACCACAGGCCAGGTATTCGCCATACGACAAATATTTGGGAAGACCCGCATGAAGAGAACCGACACACACCATCTACCTAATTGTCGATTTGAAATCCTCTTTGGACCGAACGAAAAACTGCCGGGATGTCTGAGTTTGGTATACCCGCACCACCCGCCGCTCAGGCCATGCACCATCAGACTATTAGATATTTGTTACGGTCGATGCAGAATGCGCTTACGGGAGTGCGCTTCACTTCTATTGAAGGTATCAAAAACTGGTCTTGGTCTTGGTCTCCAAATTTGCGCGGAATCCCAGCGGAAAAAGTCATAGTAAGACAATAAAGTTTCATAATCAACAAAGGTCCTCTTTGCGCCGTACTAGGCTAGTTTAGACTAGATTATTTGGCTGCCTCTTATACCGGAGGATCGGCTGTCCATAGTGATACCATTTAAGGATTGGAAGAGAAAAAAAATTGTAATGAAATAGAAGCGATATTAGCGGAAACGTTAATCTACAATACCCCAAAACTCAAAAATTTAATCCTAGCCCATTCCCCAATAGGCGCGACTACGTTTGGACAAAGTTTGTAAAAAAAAAATAATGAAAAANCTGGTAAATCACCACAGGCCAGGTATTCGCCATACGACAAATATTTGGGAAGACCCGCATGAAGAGAACCGACACACACCATCTACCTAATTGTCGATTTGAAATCCTCTTTGGACCGAACGAAAAACTGCCGGGATGTCTGAGTTTGGTATACCCGCACCACCCGCCGCTCAGGCCATGCACCATCAGACTATTAGATATTTGTTACGGTCGATGCAGAATGCGCTTACGGGAGTGCGCTTCACTTCTATTGAAGGTATCAAAAACTGGTCTTGGTCTTGGTCTCCAAATTTGCGCGGAATCCCAGCGGAAAAAGTCATAGTAAGACAATAAAGTTTCATAATCAACAAAGATCCTCTTTGCGACGTACTAACCTAGTTTAGACTAGATTATTTGGTTGCCTCTAATACCGGAGGAACATCTGTACATTGCGATACCATTTAAGGATAGGAAGAGAAAAAAAATTGTAATGAAATAGAAGCGATATTAGAGGAAACGCTGATCTATTTATAATACCCCAAAACTCAAAAATTTAATCCTAGCCCATTTTCCAATAAGCGCGACTACGTTTGGACAAAGTTTGTAAAAAAAAAATAATGAAAAATAATGTAAATACAAGACTACAATGCTAAGCATGCTATCAAGTCTATCAACAAAAATTGGAGGTGAGGAGACTCCTCCTTTTGTTCGCCTTGAAAACACTTTCGCTTGCACTTCAAGTCAACACAACGAAAAAGTATTCGTTTATCGGTTAAGCACCACCCATTTTAAAGGCGTAAACCACAAAGAAACGTGTTGTATTCATATATACATACATACATACATACATATGTACAAGTACCCAAAAACATTCATATACTACGCTCACGCACGAACAAAACCACTTAACGAGAACATAAAGAAAGTCAACACTTATGTATGTATGTAGGTAAAACAAAAAGCTAAAGAAACACAACAAAGAGGCAATCAAATTCAATCGGTCCGTCGGAAACAAATCAGCAAATCAGAATGCAGATGTGGATGAGCAAATGAGTCGTCTCTTAAATAATGTGTGTGGCATTGCCTCACAGGCACTTACCCGCTGATGCAGATGTTGTTGCTGTTGCTGTTGCTGTTGCTGCTGATGCTGGTGCTGATGCTGGGTCTGCTGGTGTTGATGTTGTTGCGTTGCATTGCGGGCTGCTGCCACCGCCGCAGCAGCTAATTGCTGATGAAATATGAGTGGAGTCGTCTGCGATGGTGCAGGCGAAGGGGAATGCGGATGCGATAGGGGCGTAGTGGCACCAGTAGGATATGGCGAACGCAATGGTGTGGCCACTTGCTGCTGCTGCTGCTGAGGTGAGCGTTGTTGGTGTTGTTGTTGAGCTGCTGATGGCATATGCGGATGATTGCGTTCTTGTTGTTGTTGTTGCTGTTGCAACCGTGGTGCATAGTAGCAGTTACCAGCAGGTACGGCGGCCGTAACAGCAGCGGCACACATAGGTTGGTGCTGCTGCTGCTGCAGCTGCTGCTGCGGAGGATGTGGACGAGGGGTTGTGGCTGACTGTGGATAGCTTGCATATGGTTGCTGTTGCATACTATATGCAGCGGTATGTTGCTGTGTTTGTTGTTGTGTTTGTTGCCGCTGCTGCTGCTGTTGGCCACAATTGTTGCTATTGTTGAGCAGCAGCGACTGATGTGTGCGATTCGTATCGCAAATCCAGTTGGTAATGCGAGACTGCTGCTGGCTTTGTTGCTGTTGTTGTTGCTGTAGCATTTGTTGTTGTTGCTGTTGTTGTAACAACTGTTGCACGTGCTGCTGTTGTTGATGCTGTTGCAAGAGTGCCGCCGTCACCCCATTGCCATTGCTGTGCCAGTTGTTGTATTGGTTTTTGTAGGCGTTGTTGTTGTCGTTGTTGTTATTATTGTTGTTGCTATGCATTTTTTTGCTGACTAATTTGTAGCCCAAGTGCTACACACAAATTCACTATTGAGTGATGGTTTTTTTTTTATTCCTATTTTTGGGTTTATTTTATTTGGTATTCGTTTGTTGTTGTTGTTTCGAATCTTGTTAAATTTGTTTTATGCGACTTTTTTCACTTCTTCACTTCTTATTTCATTCGGTTTGGCACACTTGCGACTCGACGCGGACACTCCTTTTTCTGCCACATGCAACTCGAATGAATGCTGCAGCTGTGCACGAGCCTCAAATACTTCACCCACACAATGCTCATTCACTTTTTTTTATGCACCATAAAATTTGTTTTTTTTTTGTGTTTAGCACTTTTGTTTTTGTTTTGATCGCAATTAATTTTCCGCCTGCTCCTTCAATTTCGTATTTATTTATTTTCTCCTTCAACACATTGTGTTCCTTTTCTTACTGTTTTTGTTGTTGTTTATGTATGTGCGGTCACCTGGGTTTGAAATCCAAACAAAAGCTTTAAAAAATTAAATAAATAAAAAAATAAAAAAGGTACCCACACATACTTATGTACATACATATTTCACATTAATTTATATGCTTTGGCTTTTGCCAAAAATGGCGGCTGGTGCGATCACTTTAATACGCTTCTTTTTTCTTTTGCCAATGCACCTTCGAAAACACTGTAAAACAAAGCGCGCACTCAGCACAGACGTTCCAGAAAACAAAAACGAATGAAAATTGTACTTTTTAGCTTTTTCCAAAAAAGGCGCGTGCGTGCATTGATCTCCCCACAACTGCGAATGCGACTTGAGTGGTGGTTGGTTGGTTGAACGCGCTTGAGCGCACGAGTGCCAGGGTTGATGCGCGTTCCCGATATGCGAGCACGAATGCGGCGCGGCGTTGAGCTGTGAATGCAAAAAACGCTTTGCGAAACACGAATTACATATGTATGTATGTACATTAGAGTGGTCCAAAAACAATAAAGTCGGAATTTTAAGCCGCCATCCCCTAGGATTGGTTTTTGAACCGAAAAAATATACCCCTATTTTTTTATTTTATTTTGAAATCAAAAAATATTTATGCAGTACTCACAGCGCTCAAAGTTGTCCATGTATTTTATATGGCGAAAAAACAACTTTTCGAAGAAATAGTATAAAATTCTTGAAAATCAATACTTTCTCAATTGTTTCTTTAACCATTTTTTATATTGAAGATTTTTTATTGGTCCCCCTATTGCATTTTCTGGGGGTTTTGGTGGACCTATAAAATGTAGTTACCATGAAAAAATGGTTAAAGAAACAATTGAGAATTATTACTGGGAATCTCCGGAATATATGCAAAGTTTTCCGATCGCAAAATATTGATTTTCAAAAATTCTACACTATTTCTACGAAAAGTTGTTTTTCCCCATATAAAATACATGGAAAACTTTGAGCGCTTTGAGCACTCCTAAATTTTTTTTATTTCAAAAAAAAGGGTATATTTTTTCGGTATAGAAAAATCCTAGGGGGTGGCGGCATTAAAAATCCACCTTATTTTTTCACATACATTTTTGGACCACTTTAATGTACAGTAGTATTTCACAAAAGCACGCAAGTGGGGAGAACCACATTCATACATACGAATGTATGCGAGCGGGAAAAAAAGGCAAAACAGAACGCCACCAACGCCAATACCTGCGTTAAGTATCGAAAATACACGTACACCGCTCTATGCGTTTACGAGTACGAGAATTACGACAAATACGACAAATTTACTAAACACTACAAGCCACGATTACCTTCGCGCGCGCACGATCAGCGATCAGCAACTTCCATTACTACTTCCTTCCTTACGGCAGCTCAGACAAAATTGAATTAAAATTCGAAATGAAAACTGAAATTTGATAAGCCTGGGTCCAAGCGGCGGTGGTAGTGGCGACATCGTTGGTAGTGGACGGCACAGCCGGATAATGGCGCCAACGTTAATACCAACAACTCCAAAGTCAGCACGCGTCGCGTCGCGTCGCATTGCCTCGAATTGGACGCTTGCTCTGCCAATGCCACTGACTGGACCCAACGAAACACAGCGCAAATTTAGTTACGCCGCAGTTGACGCAAACGTAGGTGACTACAATACAACACAACGTAGGTACATATAGCCCGCCAAATGACATACAGCTCAAAACGACTGGCCACAAGCGTCTTGGCTGAATGCGCTGAGCAGCAGGCGGTGGCGCTGCTGAAATGACGGCGGCAGCTATATCGTTTTTGTTCTTGTTTTTTTTTTTTTTGGTTTTCGCTGATTAGTGAATTAGTAAAAAAAGGTTTTAGACGAATTGTCCAGTGTCCAGTCGAAATGTAAATACATATCACATTCAAATGAATGCTCAGTGTCTGGGTTTTGTAATCCAGTCTTGTTAAGTAATTTAGTACGGTAAAGCAGTTAAGAGCAAAATGTTAATAAAAAAAGTTCCCGTACTAATATTAAGAATACGGAAGTATATACATATGTAAGGGCATGTGCATTTTTAATAGGTTTTTCTGGATGTTGCTGGTGTAAAGATATACATATGGGCATATCCCAAAAAACTTCAATTTTTGTCGCGTCCGTGCCGTAGTTTAGTTGCTTCTAATTTTGTACTTAACTGTTTATATTTCCAAAATTTTTCACTGAATATAGCACCTTTCCAGTGCCTTGTAACAGTTGTGATATATGTACATGCGATCTTTCAGTTTCCTTCCTATTTTAAGCTTAGTTACGCGTGCGAATGCCGCGTCCGTAACCCTGGATATGCCCATATGTATCGGCACTCCTACATATGTACATCATTAGCAGTTGGTCATAATAGTTAATGCAGCTTTCGACACAGGTTCCGTGAGAAAATAACACCTAGAGATACTCCCAACGGTGGTAAATCGCTTAAAGCTAAAATAATAAGGGTTATCGAGTAGGCGGACGATTTGGTAATAACTTTGCTGAGTAGGCCACCTTGGGAAGCATTGTCTTGATCTTTGACCTAAAGCCGCTGTACTTTTCCGTCCATAGTTCGGGCGTAAAGGGCGTCCCCAGATAATTGGAAGACAATATGTGGTGGTTGGTTTCGGGCCCACAACAAAACAGGTTTTTTTTTAATGAATAAAATCTGACTTAGTAGCCAGTATCGACCATACTTATTACTTTGGCTTGGTGCTTGATTACATTTTTCATTAAGGAAAAATCGGACGGAGGGCTACCGGTGGATTATATATCAACGTACACTGAGGGTTAAAGGAACTTATGAGTATTTTCGTCTGCCCAACGACTGCAGCATCTTCTAAGCTGAGATTTATGCCTTCTACTAACTAGCATGATGCCAAGCGAAAAGTCACTCTATTCGTCGATCCAAAGTAATTAAATCTGGGATTGTAGGGAAATCTTAACCTAACTCTTTCCTGGGTTCATAGGAATGGCAATATAAGAAGGAAAAGAAGCACCTGATGAAATTACTAGATTTGCAAATAAACGTGGCTGACTTATGGGCCTAACGAGATTATTAGGAGTCCTCAAGATCCTTATGACCGTGATAAAATAGGAAAACAGACGGAATACAGAAGATTTCTTAACAGTGTCATCACACGACCCTGTTCTCTCTGTAGAAGCTTTAATGAGGATGAGGAGGAATCAAGTTAGCAGCTTTAGAGTCGATGCACCGTTCTGCACTCGAGGGGTTTCAAAAGTTGGGGTTAGGTTTTTTCACCATACTAATTTCATTTGGGAAAGTATTCAAGTTGTTCCGCAGGTTTATTATTTTGATTATACCATCTTTCCTCTTTGCATAGACACATTTTCTGGCACTCACTCAAAGAGAATACACACAAAGGATAACCATGTCTCTTAGTGGACGCGTGGAACGTTCCATAAACGTCCTCCTAAACTACACATGTATGTACATGCAGACATTAAACAACCACTATCAGAGCAATCCCAATGGCGCCTACGTTCTTTAGTACAGCAGAGTTACATTGATATCCCTAATCCTCTGTTGTTTCACAATCATAGAGTCCAGGATAACATAAAACGCGTTTTTTTTTATTAAATAAGTAAGCTTCTTCGAAAGTGAAATTTGCATCTAAATTTACCGATACTATATTTTTTGCTTTGACACCCGACTGACTGGAAAAGTCGACGAGGTATCTTCAAAGCCGTCGGCAACTGCATAGAAACTACAAATTTCCCAGGAGACATGTAAGATTCTTAATATCGACATTAATCGCAGTGATTCTAAGTATATTAAAGAACGAAATTGAATTTTTTGGTAATGAAAGAATTTTGAAAAATTTGAACCATATCAAAACAAATGCCAACAAAACATTTTTGAACTTGCTAATTTATTTCATGATTCCTTTGATGCATGGAAAAGCCCCATTTAAAATATGACAAAAAGGACCAATTGTGCTCTGATTTTACTGTTTTTGGTTATCAGTGGTATTTTTGTTTAGAAACGAATAAATGTGAATAAGTGATTGGTTTGGCAAACTACCACGCCTACTACACTAGGGGGCGCAAATGATAAATGTTGTCAGATTTTAATGAAACTCGGTTTGCATCTTAGTTTTAGTTCAGAGAAACTTAAATCTGTTACAAAAAATCCATTTACTGCTTTTCGCCACAGCTTATATGGTGATCTGGCAACAAGAAGCTTCCAGTCTGTGAAAGATGAAGACAAGTCTAGCCGGTTCTAGCAGCAGGCACTTTTTTAAATAGTTTACAAAGTACCTAGCTACACTCTTCATAAAGTCATTTAAAATGATTTAAATCATATAAATATTCGCTGTATGTACCTAGTTATTAGTAAAAAAAACGAAAGTGTTTTTCCTGCATTTCAAAAAATATTTGGCGCTCAAACATTTTGCCAAGCTTTTGGCTGAGCTTCTACTACAATTTTTTCGCCGCCGGAAATATGCTTTTATAAATGGACCATACGTTCGGAAGTTTTTCATTGGCTACCGTGCGAACAATCGTTGCTAGAAGAAAGGGCAAGAAATGGCGTCGCAGGAGATAAATCGATTTTAATTGTCTGATTCCAGAAACTGTTCAGAGTGTGCGCTTTAAAATTGCTAAAAAAACTAACGAAAACGATCCAGCCACTTGCCGCTGGTACAAAGCTTAGAAAAAGTGTCTACTTCTCAATAATGTGCGGACGAATTAGCGGGCTAGGCCAGGGTAGCCAACTAATTTTTGAACATTCCCCGATTTTGCACGAAATTTCGTAAAATTCCCCACTCATAGATATTTCATTATTTGCAAAAGAAATTGTGTATTTTTTGGTATATTGCTGGTCTCTCTGTTTATTTTATTATTATGTATTCATAAACCAAACCAAACTTGTAGAAAGTTACTTTACAAATAAGGAATAAAAAATGTTTACATAATATTTACATACATACAGTGGTAAAAAAAATGTTTTTCGTACCAAATTTTCACACCATTTTTTTTTTAANGGTCTCTCTGTTTATTTTATTATTATGTATTCATAAACCAAACCAAACTTGTAGAAAGTTACTTTACAAATAAGGAATAAAAAATGTTTACATAATATTTACATTCATACAGTGGTAAAAAAAATTTTTGTCGCACCAAATTTTCACAATTTTTTTTTTTTTTTTTTCAGTTATTTTTTTTTATAAATATATAGTTCATTCTGTAACGAAAACCGTATAAATCCAAGTTTCAAACTTTGTGCAATATTTAAAAAAAATCAACAATCTTTCGTGAAAATTTCGACCTTTTCAAAAGTTTTTTTTTAAAGATTTTGAGTGTGCAGTTTCGTAACTCACTCAATTCTAGTTTCATGAAGTGGCTAAAAATTTTGGTTTTAGATTTTTTTTGCCGAAGTTGTTGCGGCTTTCTTGCATATAAAAACAAATTGTTTTTATTCGTTATATGAAAAAGTAAACGGTAATTTTTAACCATTTTAAATTTTGTTGTACTAGAATTGAACGAGCTGAAATATCCCGCAAACTAAGATCCAAACTGAAATTCCCCACAAATCGGGGAAGTCCCCACGAGTTGGCTTCCCTGGGCTAGACTGACTCATTTAGGTATGTATTTTTGAAATGACTGAGTCACATTTCGAGCTCAAACGAAAGCGGCTTGACGTTTAAAGCGCCGTTTAAGAAAGAAATTACATACATATATGCAAAATGATAAGCATATTGCCTTGAAAATTAACCACAGCAACAAAATTAGCAACCGCCATACTGTTGTCAGACGTACATATGTTCTTATGTATGTGTAACACTATTTCATGTCAGGGCACCAACAACAAAAGGTTAAGAGTAGATCACACACAGCGTTGCCGTGATAGCCGCGCGGTAGCATCGATCGTGCTATTCGACCCGAAAAGCATAAACGATCTTATCGCGCTTTGTTTTTTGTTAACAAATTGATTTATTTCATCATTCACGTTGCTGTTTGAAAAGTCGTATAATTTGCCGCACTGATTATTTAATAAACAAAAAATCGCCAACTCACTGCTAATAATGTTTGCGGAAATGCCTTCTTAAACACTTAAAATTTTTGCACTTTCACCTATTCCATTCACTAATTCTAGCGGCTTTAATTCTGTTTCGTTCTATATAGCTATGTATGCACATCTATGTACATTTACATATACATGGTTTGCGGATATTCATTGTCCTTTTCCAAACATTTATTTACCACTTAAGAACACTACACTTTTATTTCTACTACTATTTATTTACTATTTGTTTTGGTTTTAACTTTAGCCGCGTATTCGAAAACTCGTATTTCCTTTACTTTTACCGCGCGCGCACTCAGTCACCAGTAACGCGGCACATACGCATAGGTAAAACGTTCAAATTGAAATGTTGCTCTGTAATTTTTTTGCACAACCATTTACCCTGCTGCCGTTGACTAGCAGAACTACTGGTGACGATATTGGCTGTGGCGGTGACGTTGCCGCTGC